AACTATGACTATAAATGGGGAAGTTGAGAAGGTAGAATCTTTGAACCCTAAATATCAATTTTAGACTCTTCATAATAAGCAAGGAATATAGTTAAGGTTAAAATAAGATTTGTGGACTATGGATATTTATCCGCGTCCAACAATTATTTAAACACGAAATTAGCTTATACTTTGAATGCAATAAATCAACAACAGTAAACTAAGATTGAACAAAGTTTTAGACTGTTTGTCAACCCACCACAACCCTCTTCCTTTATCCAAGTTTAGGATTGGCTATGGAAAAACATAGAGTTGAACGCAATCAATCCTAAATAAGATATTAGAGCAACTCATCAAAATATATGAGTTTCCAGTCTACAACTTGTCTTCAATCCACCTATTTTAGAATTCTGGACTTCCCTTCTTTTATGCAAATGTTCTCATCAGGTTTTAACTCCAATAACTTGGTTAGAACCCTTTTTCTTTTTTTTTTCTTTTTTTTTTTCTCTTTTTTTTTTCCCCTCAGGCGCTCATAGAAAAAGATTGGCTTGCATTTGGTCATCCGTTTTCAGATCGTGCGGGAATGCCTATTGCATCTGGAAGTGGCAGCATGCCATTTGAATTATCGCGGCAGTCTTCTACTGGAAGTTTATCTCCATCACCAATGCGTCAAGCATCGGGCTCATTCCCATCTCAAGCACCATCTCCTTCACATGCACAAAACAATTATTCTCCCATCTTTTTGCAGGTATTTTTACTAGGAAACTTTACGTCTGTTAGTTGTACAAGATTTAGCTTGATCTTTTCCTCATCAAGGATTGTCCACCTTTTTAATTAGTATCTAAGGAGGCTCATATATATATGCCAGTAGTTAGATGGTTTTTGACTTATGAATTGTTGTGAAACATTGCTGTTGTGGCATAATAAAGTTGGGAGGGTTATAAATCTGTCTGTCAAGTTATTCTTAAATTTTAAAATGATCCTCAGAAGTCATAACAGGTAGCATCAGGTCATTCTGGAATAAATGTCAGCAGCTACCAAGCTTATTATCTGTGGGAACAGAGATGCAAAAGAGCTGAGCTGAGCTTACCTTTTTAAAAATTTGTGAGCTCTAACAAAATCAGCAAGGGCTCAAGTCCGATTGAGGCTTGAGCTATAATTTTATTTTATTTTTTACTTGAACTCGGCTTTGAAAAAAATAAATCTTTAACTTGAGCTTGGCCTTGACCCTGAGCGTCATTCAAGTTTGTTTCAACCTCGAGCTTGCTGTAGCTTTGCTTGATTTTTGGTCATCTTATAAAAAAATCGAAGGTAGTTATATAAAAGTTGATTACAGACATAATGAGAAGGAAGCCATACTAAATAGTTAACATGAGAATTAATAATATACACTAACTAATAGAGGTGGCACAAGTTGTGGATAAATTAAGGGAAGGACAAATTAGGCGGTTTGGGCATGTCTTGTGTAGATAAGAAGAAGTTCGTGTTCACTAAAATATTGCGATACCTGTTGAACAGAACACATGTTATGATGTGGTTTCCTATGATTTGATTGCATTGGATGTTTAGAAGATGTAATTCTGGACTGAATAAAGTGAAAACAAATCATGTTGTTGATCCCAAATTTATTGGGAGTAATGCTTAGCTTTTTGTTGTCTATTAATTTATTTGATCTTTCTGGTCATAGATTCAATTTGTTTAACATTCAGAATTGTTCTGCAGTGGGTTGATTGTGTTTCACAACTGTTACGGATGTATCCTTTTGCTTTTGAATTCTCGTCGGTATGTACCTTCGTTTGATACATCTAAAGGACAAATTCTTCAATATTCAATTCAAACATACTTCTCTAATTCATTTTTGTCACTGCAGGCATTCCTGGTAGACTTACTGGATTGTGTACTTTCCTGTCGTTTCGGGAACTTCCTGTGCAACAGGTACAGTCTCTCTGTTGTGAAATTTCTCCAGTTAAACCTTGCTTCTCAACTAAACTTTATTACTTCTTTATTCTCAAATCATGAATAAAGTTTGATATCAGTT